TGATCTAGAGACATATGTCGGTCGAATGTTACGCCAATGTTACTAGCTGTGTCAGATGGTTGGATTTTAAAATTGGATATATCTATATGATCTATAAGCGGGCATGGGCGATGGCGTGCATTTATTACTAACAACTCTGTCTTGTCTCCATTTAGCTTCAATTTATTACTAACCATCCACGAGTCGATCTCTCTAACGCATGTTTCTATTCGCACAAGTGCACCCGGTTGTTCATCTGTAGTTGGCTCAAAAGCAAGATATAGTTGCGAATCATCAGCATAGAAATGAAAGTCAAGTTCATGACGTCTAATAATATCTCCAATGGGCGAGGTGTATAACAGGTACAAAATAGGGCGCAGAACTGAGCCTTGCGGAACTCCCCAATTTAGATCTTTAGCAGCAGATTTAACGCCATCAATCATCACAGTTTGTGTCCTGTTTTGAAGGTAGGACTGAAACCATTCTAGCACCTTGTCTTTAATTCCAAACCGTTTTGACATTCGTTCCAATAGGATTTCATGGTCAACTGTGTCGAACGCGGCTGACATGTCCAACAACAGCAAAACTACACATTTCTGATTGTCAATAGCGATAAGAATGTCATTCTGAACTTTAAGCAGGGCCGTTTCGGTACTGTGGAAGCGTTTATATGCTGATTGGAGAGGTTCTTCTAAGTTATTATTGACTAAATGTTCCATGAGTTGAGTAGCAACAGCTTTCTCGATTATCTTAGATAGAAATTTAAGATTTGAAATTGGTCTGAAGTTTGAGTATTCTTCGAACTCCAAATTGCTTTTCTTCAGCTTAGGTTTTAACATAGCCTCTTTGAGTTGTACAGGCATGCATCCAGTTTCGAGTGACTTGTTGATGATGTTAGTAAACGTAGGTAGTAGAGTCTTTTTACAGCCTTTAAGAATTGTTGCAGGTATAGGGTCGAGTTCACAGGATTTTTTGCCATTCGCGTCAACAATATTTTCGATTTCTTGCTCCGTTACCGTTTGAAAGACTCTAAATTCAACGCATTGTGTCAACAGTTCCGCTGGTCTCAGCTGATTGTCATAGGTGGATATATTGGCCAAATCACTACGTAAAACTGCTATCTTGTTACTAAAGAAGTCCCCAAAATTATTAACTAGCTCAGTTTTTGATGATGTAGTTCGATAACATTTCTCTGGTTTTCTGTGAAGTAGTTTGTCAACTGTATCAAACAATACTTTCTGATTATATTTATTATTAGAAATGGCGGAGGAGTAATATGTTGTCTTCGCTTCCTTGATCATATCATTCACTATCTGACATTGTTTAATATATATCTCTTTGTCAATGCACAGTCTAGATGCTCGCCAACGACGCTCGAGTCTTCTACGGTGTCTTTTGGCTTTACCAATTTCCTCGTTATACCATGGTGCTGATGGCCGGAGAGTAATAGTTCTTCGTTTTAAAGGCGCATGTTTCTGTAAAGTTTCTTCCAAAGTCTTTTCGTACTGATCGATAATAGTTGGTAGCTCACTGTCACTACTGAAGTTCGACTTTCCTAGGTCTTCGTTAAAACTATCCATGTTTATATTCCGCAGCTTGCGATACTGGATTTCTGCACGTTCCAGTGGTGGTTTCTCAAGCTGTAACATACAGCTTACAGCTGAATGATCTGAAAACATGGGGTCGTGTATTTCAATGTTAGTCACCAGTCGATCGCCAATTCTTGTTATTATTAAATCTAGGGTGTGACCCTTCTTGTGAGTTGGCCCATTCACGTGTTGTTGTAGATTGAACGATTCCAATATTTTATTGAATTTTATGGTATCCGGGTTAGTACTGTTGTCCACATGGTAATTGAAGTCACCGGCTATTAACAAATTGCCTGGTAGAATTATTAGCTGCTCCATAAGGTTGCAAAATTCGTCAAAAAATTGAGAATTAGTTAGTTGATTGGTCTTCGAGGATGGTGGTCTGTAGATAATAACCATTCTTGTTCTACTATTTGAACATTCCATAGTTACGTCTATATATTCGAAGGAGATGAATTTCCTTTGAGATTGTGTTTTTATACGTATACTCGTCTTTAGTAGCACACCAACCCCTCCACCTCGTGAGTTTTTTCTTGGGATATGATGAAAATAGTAT